GGCCGTTCCACCCCTCGACAGAATGCACATGCTTTCAGGAGCATCTGATGGGCCATAAAGCAAGTGTGAATACATTTAAAAGGATCGAGTCCTACAAAGTATATTCTTGGACCTCGTGGAATTAAATTAGAAATCAATAACAGAAAGACACTTAGAAACTGAATAACAAACTCCTAAATAATCCATAAGTAAAAAAAGACAGAAAGCGTTACTAGTTTTTCTAAATTTTTCATTGATTGATTGATTTTAGAGAGAGAGGAAGAGAGGAAGACTGACTCGTTGTTCCACTTATTTATGGATTCACTGGCTGCTCCTGTATGTGCCCTGACCAGGGATGGAGCCTGCAGCCTTGGTATCGGGACGACGCTCTAACCAACTGAGCTGCCTGGCCAGGGCACTCGTTTTTTGAACTGAATGAAAATGAAAACACAACATGCAGCATTTACTGAATGCCAGAAAGAAGTACGTGGGGACAAGTTTATTGGACTGAGTGGCTGTACATTGCCGGGACCCGGTCCATCCTTGCTTTTCAAGGGACCTGGCATATATGGCATACTGCTCTTAATATGTTTGCTCACCTTCTTGGCACTATGTTTTTAAACCAAGGTCACCTCTCTGAGAAAGGTTGTTTCCCCAGGTAGGGATTTTCCCCTGAAGTTAGGGAGGGAATAAAACCCCTCAAGTAAGTGCCAGGCGGGTAGTTAATCACTTTAACTATGAACAATCATGCTTAAGCTACATAATCTTTACTCCCTGGAACGGAGATAAGAAACGTCCTAACCTTTGGAATAGAGATTGATAGGATTGGAATCAAGTGGTATAAATACAGATGTAACAAGACAACAGGATACAGAACCCAGACACAGAACCATGGCACAGAACCTACACAGAACCTAGAGACAGAAGAACTTCGCTGGAGAGAGCATGGCAAAAGATCCTGGACAGAACCTGGCTACAGAACTTGGCTGGAGACCCTAGACAGAACCTGGCAACAGAACCTGGCTACAGAACCTGGATAGAACCTGGTGACCAAACCTGGCTGGAGAACCTGGACAGAACCTAGCGAGGGAACATGGCTACAGAACCTGGCTGGAGAACCTAGCAAGAGAACATGGACACAGAACCTGGCTGGAGATCCTAACCAGAACTTCGCTGGAGATCCTGAACAGAACTTGGCTAGAGATCCTGGCTAGGCTGCTGATCAACTGAATGCTGTCTCTGTGTCATTCCTTCTTCGCCGACTCCGTCCACACCTTTGGGGACCCCTGGACCTGCTGGGGTTGGACCCCAGCAGTATATAAAAAAGGCTTCAAATCAATAAATTCAGTTTCTACCTTAAGAAACTATAAAAGGGAGAGCAAATTAAACCCAAAGTAAGCAGAAGAAAAATGATAAACATCAAAGCATAAATCAATAAAAACAAAAAGTGGAGAGAAAGTCAACGAAACCAAAACCTGATCATGGGGGGGACGTGGGAAGACACAAATTACCAGTGTCAGGAATGAGAGGCGACCTCACTACACATGTGGGAATGAAGGAATGCTACAAACCACCGTATACCCATAAATTAACAATTTAGATGAAATGGACAAATTCCTTGAAGGACACAAACTATCAAATTCTCTCAAGAAGAAATAGATAGCCTGAATAGCCCTAGCTCTATTGAAGAAATTTAATTTGTGATTAAATAGCTTCCCATAAAGAAACTTCCGGGCTCAGATGGCTTCAATAATGAATTCTATTAATAAGGAGGGAAAAAATAATTCTATACGAATTCTTCCAGAAACTTGAAGAGGAGCAAATACTTTCAATTCATTATTTGAGGTTAGCATTATCCTGGTACCAAGACCAGACAACAACACAATAAAAGAAAACTACTCCATGATATCCATCATTAAAACAGATACAAAGAGCCCTGGCTGGTTTGGTTCAGTGGATAGAGCACCAGCCCGCAGACTGAAGGGTCCCGGGTTCAATTCCAGTCAAGGGCACATGCCCAGGCTTCAGGCTCGATCCCCATGGGGGGCCTGTAGGAGGCAACCGATCTATGATTCTCTCTCATCATTGACGTTTCTATCTCTCTATCTCCCTTCCTCTCAGAAATCAATAAAAGTATATTAAAAAAAAACAGATGCAAAGATTCTAAACAAAATTTTACCAAATCTAATCCAACTATATATATATATATATATATATATATATATATATATATATATGATATTATATACACACACACAAATACATACATCAAGACCAAATAAGCTTTAGTCCAGGAATGCAGGGTTGGTTTAACATTTGAAAATCTATTGGTGTAATCCATTATATTAACAAATTTAAGGAGAAAATCCCCATGATCATCTTAATAGAATCAGCCGTGGGCAAACTACGGCCCGCGGGCCGGATCCGGCCAGTTTGAAATGAATAAAACTAAAAAAAAAAAAAAGACCGTACCCTTTTATGTAATGATGTTTACTTTGAGTTTATATTAGTTCACACAAACACTCCATACATGCTTTTGTTCCGGCCTCCGGTCCAGTTTAAGAACCCATTGTGGCCCTCGAGTCAAAAAGTTTGCCCACCCCTGTAATAGATGCAATTTTTTTTTTTTTTTTTTACAAAATCCAATTTCTAGATAAAAACTCAGCCAATTGTTATTTGAAGAGAATGTTCTGAAAGTGGTTAGGGTGCTTACGTAAAACCTGCTACAGCATTCTCACCAATGAAACCGAGTGTTTTCCTCCAACATCAGCAACAAGACGAGAGACCTGCTCTCACCACTTCTATTCAACATGGTACAGTGTTCTGGTTAGTATAATCAGGCAAGAAATAGAAATAAAAGGTATCCATATTGGAAAGGAAGAACTAAAGCTTTCTTTATATATGAAATGATAATCTACATAGAAAACCAGACAGGATTGGCAAAAAAGTTATTAGAACTAAGGTTGCAGGATGCAAAATCAAAATATAAAAATCACTTGTAGACCAGCCAGTGTGGCTCAGTGGTTGAGCATCCACCCAGGAATCAAAAGGTCCCTAGTTCAATTCTCCGTCAGGGCACATACCTGGGTGGCAGGCTCGATCCCCATGGGGGGCATGCAGGAAGGAGGCAGCCGATCAATGATTCTCTCATCACTGATGTTTCCATCTCTCTCTCCCTCCCCCAAATCAATAAAAATATAGTTAAAAAGAACAGAAACATTAAAAAATCAATTGCATATCTATATAGTAGCAATGAACACGTGGGATGGAAACAATTTATAATAGTATCAAAAAGCTTTCCCAGGAGAATTCCGGGGTGACTCCTCGGTGAGATGTGGCATCCACCGAGAGAAAGGGTGTGCAGGCTTAGCAGGTCTAGAGGCTGCCTGAAGGGCAGACGGATGCAGCCCCTGCAAGAAGAGGTCGTGGTAGAGTGAGAATTAGCATTAGCGTCAGTATCAGAGCTAGTGCTGGTCCCAGTCTGCGGGTTGAAGACTCAGAAGAGCTCTCTGAAGTGGGATGTCCAAAGCAAGTCCCTTCAAGAATGGGCTCGAGGTTCTCAGAGGGCGTCCTGCACTCACAGCCACTGCCCCAGCAGCGCCCAGGGTCGGCCTACCCTGCCCCAGGTGCTGGCCTGGCAGGGTGCAGTCCAGACAGGGCACCGAGGGACCCATGGGACAGACACGTGCACGACGAAGGGAAGGAGGAAAGGGCTCACGCTCTCCACTTTGTAAACCCCCACTCACTTGAGCTCCTTCACCATGAAAATATACTCATGTGGACACATTCTATCCTGCATATTTATTTATTTTATTGGTTTCAGAGAAGGAGGGAGGGAGGGAGGAACATCAATGATGAGAGAGAATCATGGATCGGCCGCCTCCTGAACGCCCTACACCAGGATCGAGCCCAAAACCGGGCATGTGCCCTGACCGGGAATCGAACCGTGACCTCCTGGTTCATAGGTCAATGCTCAACCACTGAGCCACCCAGTCATGTTATAGTGTATATTGAAATAATTCACGTATTTAATTGATATATTCTTAAATAATTCAATTATTTAAATTTAAATATAGATCCAGGTAAATATTGGTATATAATATCAAGACTTCTTAAATAAAATGAAAAGGCATAAAATAAAAGCATAGTTTTATTATTTATTTATTTATTTATTTTTTATTATTATTTTTAGAGCAAGTGGAAGAGAGAGGGAAAGACAGAGAGAAACATTGATGTGAGAGAAATATCAATTGGTTGCCTCCTGCACGAGCCCCAACCAGGGCCTGGGCTGGGGAGGAGCCTACAACCCAGGTACGTGCCCTTGACCGGAATCTAACCCGGGGCCCTTTGGTCCTCAGGCTGACGCTCTATCCACTGAGCCAAGCTGGCAAGGGCAAAGCATAGTTTTCTTTTTGTAGAAAAGTTGCATTTTATAAATACATGTGCTTAGCAAAGATTCTGGAAGGACAGACACCAAATGGCAGCACAGCTAACTGGCTGGAACGCAAGGGGCTTTCGTTAGGGTTTTCTACATTCTTTTCTGTACCTAAGGAACTTCCTGTAATGAGAAATCAGTAACGAGCTGTCTGTAATTCACCAACATAAAGCCATTTAAACAGCGAATTGCTTTCAGTGCTACTAAGCCTGCATCCCAAATCCTCAGAGGCAGCCTTGCACCACAAGGTGGGCGGGGCCTCAGAGCATCAGCCACTGCAGCCAGGTCCTGGGAACCAGGAGCCACCTGGTCAGTACAAACCTGAAAACGAAGGGGTGGGACGGGGTGTCCGTGTCCGAGAGAATGACTCTCTGAGCGGGAGAGCCTCTCACTAGCTCAACACTTCACGACAGAACGACCACGTGTCTTGTCCCCCACTGCGTAGGTGCTAAGTAAACATTAGCTGGGTGAATAAACAGGAGGAAATCCGCTCTAAGCGTAGGGGGTGCGGTAAACACAACCACTCTGTCATCCCGGGGGCCCCTCTTAGAAACAGAAACTGGTGTCTGGCAAGGAGCTAACCTACCGGGTGCTTGGCGGAGAGCCTTCCGGTCACTGTCCCCGTCTGGTTCCACGTGGAGGAGATGGCGCCCTTTACCAGAAGGAATCGGGGTGAGCCCTGGCCATGCCACGGAAGTCGAGAGCGCGCTGCACCCTTTGGCGCCTCCCCTGCAGACAGCACTCTCTGTTCCTCCAGAGGCCCTACCCCGCCCGACTCCTGGGGTCAGAAGCTGCCAACTGTGGTCAAGATGTCCCCTCACCCAAGGGAAACTGCAGCAGGACCGCGGGTCTCCAAGTCACTTAAGAACCCTGTGCGTGGGGAGAGGGCCGAGGGGCTCAAGGCGGGCCCAAGGGGGGCTGTGCATCCCGCACAAGCTGTGTGGCCTCAGACGAGTGACAGGACATCTCTGAGTGCAGACTCCTGGAAGTGACCACAAAGGGAGCTGCAGCCACACGTGGGAGAGCGCAGGGTTGGCAGCCGGGCCTCCTGGGCCCCACTCCTGGGTCCCACTCCTGGGTACGCCGCCTCCTAAAGAGGCCTGAGTCCCAGCACAATCGTGGCTCACGCTCCAGTTTATTAGACTACTAGAAGCCCAGTGCACGAAATTCGTGCGGGGTGGGGGGGGAGCGCGTTGTCCCTCAGCCCGGCCTGCACCTTCTCACAGTCGGACATCCTTAGCGCTGCCACGGAGGCAGGAGAGGCTCCCACCACCGCCACTGCGCTCACCAGCCATGAGCCCGGCTTCTGGCGCACTGACCACTAGGGGGCAGCTCCTGTATTGAGCATCTTCCCCCTGGTGGTCAGTGCTCATCATAGCGACCAGTCATTCCTTCGTTCGGTCGATTTGCATATTAGCCTTTTATTATATAGGATTTCACCATCAACCCAACTCTAAGAGCTTCCACACCATCTGAACTCACAGGCACCCACATTCCTCACGCTTCAGCCCCGGTACCTCTTTCACGCAGGCGAGCAGCCCGTCCACAAAAGTTGACTTGATCTTGTGAACCTGTTACAGAGACAAGAAGCGGCGCCTTCTTTGTTGAAGTCGTTCAACAGGAGCGAGCGTCAGCGCCGTGTGTCACCAAGACGACCCAGGACCCCGGAGTGGCCTTGTGGCCAGAATTAAACCACAGCGACCCGCTGAGAAGGGGTCACCCCCCTTTCTACAGGTATTTGTTATTCTGCAGCCATGCTCTCACAGGAAAGTGATGAGGATCAGGTGCGCTCCTGCCCGTCACCCCGTGCCCCGTGGTGCCCCGCTCAGTCCTCCTTCAGTCCTTCCATTACTTCAAGGACAAGGGCAGTTGCGACCCCCTGCTCTCTAGCAGCTGCCCAGCCCTGGCAGAGAGCAGGCCATGGGCTCAGTAAGTAAAAAAACTGATGGTACTGCCTGGTGGGTGTGGCTCAGTGGTTGAGCATCGAACTATGGGCCAGAAGTGTGCAGGGGGCCACTGACCAATGATTCTCTCTCATCATTGATGTTTCTCTCCCTCCCTCTCCCTCTCCCTCTCTCTCTCTCTCTCTCTCTCTCTCTCTCTCTCTCTCTCTCTCTCTCTTCCTCTCTGAAATCAATAAAAATCTATTAAAAAATAACACAAAAAACCCCGATGATACTAGCAATGTGAGTGCTACATGTGGTTCAAGGACAACAGAACTGCTGGCAGGTGCAGGAGCAGAGAAGCAGGGCAGCTGGAAGGGAGGGGTGTGTCAGTGACCAGTGAACAGGAACGCGGATGGTAAAACGCTGCGCGGAGCCACACACCGGGCCTGCCCCGGGCACGGAGGCGGCTTCCACACACGGTACTGATGGAGGGCACGTCACACTGTCACAGACACACCAACTCCTTCCTTCCGAGAGTTCGCCAGCCCCTCAAGCTGAGAGGGGCTGACTGTAGGCGGGGTGACACCACGTCGGGGTGCCAGCGAGCCGTGCGAACACGGGTCAACTTGAACGACTCCATTCCCTTCAGGGCCTCGTCGGGCTGCCTCAGCGACTGGATTTCCATCAACAGAGCCGGTGCCATAAGCTTCCCCTTCGTCACCAACTTATTAAGAAATTAACTTACCTGCCTGTATTCCAAAATGATCTTGGGTAATGGATGGAGGGCTTGCAGAGCAGTTAACTGAAAAATGAGAGTAAATATTATTAACAGAGTCATTCATGGAAGCTCAACATTCCAGACACTTATTTTCAGCCAGAGAAAGTCCTAAAGAACACCGTCTCCATTGAGCATGTTTCCCAAAATGGAGATGCATAACCAACTCAGCTGAGCAGGCGCCCCGGCCTCCACCCTCACAAATCCATCCTCGTGGCGCTAAGGGCGCTTCGCGAGAGCGGGATGAGGTTTCCATGAGGACTCCGCAGCCAGGACGCGTAAGACACCACCTGGCGGGTGTGGCCCAGCTGCCTGGAGTGTCGTCCCAGCACCAAAAGGCGGCGGTGATTCCGGGTCTGGGCACAAATCGGGTCTATCCTGGTCTAGCTGCGAACGGGAGGCAGCGGATCGATGCTTCTCTCTCACATCAATGTCTCTCTCATTCTCTCTCTCTCCCTTCCTCTCTCTAAAAATCGATTTTGAAAAATTATTTTAAAAATATCACATGGCAGCCCTGGCTGGTTTGGCTCAGTGGATAGAGCGTCAGTCTGCGGACTGAAGGGTCCCGGGTTCGATTCCGGTCGAAGGCATATGCCTGGGTTGCGGGCTCCATGCCCAGGGAGGGTATGCAGGAGGCAGCCGATCAGCGATTCTTCCTCCTGGCAGAGAAAACTGGGAAATGCCTACAAACGTGTAACGTGATCGTTCAGGAACACCCAGCACCTGAATCGCAGGGAGCCGGGCATGAAGTCAGGGAGGTGACATCAGAGCATGATTAAGGATTTTCAAATTAATTTTAAAAAGTCAAAATATAAAAAGTCAAAAATATACAGCAGAGTACAAGCTCATAAGAACACGACTTGTTGAAGTATCACAAAGTGAACGCGCCTGGGCTCGCCCAGAGGGAACACTCAGGCCCCTGCCCCCACCAGCCTGGCCTCTACCCCCCAGGCCACTGTTCCCAGGTTTTGAACTTCGTGTCAGTTCAGGACAGGTTCTCTGTGTGTGTGGCTTCTGTGCTCAGCGTGATGGCTTATGGCTCACCATGCTGCCGTGGGAAGACGATGCCGTGAACGTGTAATGCTGATTGTTTGAACGCAGGTCAACTACTTCTCCCTCCACCACGGATGGATATGTGGTTTTCCCATATCGGGCCGCGGTGGACACACGGTGCAGTGCCGGGAACGACGTCCGCAGCTGTTGGATGCACACACGAGGAGGCGTGTTGGATGCACACGCGGGCGCCGGGCCACCTGCAGCGGGGACCGTCCAGCAGTTCATCACACCCGGGAGCCCGTGCCCGCGTCTCGGGTAACGCGTGTTGCTGTCCTCATCCCCGCCGTCCTGGTGATGTGAGCGACGTCTCACTGGGCTGCTGGTGCGTATGCCCCGGCGACCGAGACGGCCGAACAGCACGCGGTGTTTACTGACTGCACCTCTTCTGCCAGGGTCCTGTGCGTGGCCTCGGCCCACGGGGAAACCGCTGTGCCTGTTCCTCCTGGACTGTGGGCACCCGCTGCCTGGACGGGCTCTTTCCTATGAACTGGAAGCGCCTTCTGTGAGGCTCGCCCTTCCTCTTGGTTAGTGGCGTCTCTTCCTGAACAGAGGGTCTTCATTCCACTGTCATCCAATGTGTCGACCTCCTTCTTTACGGTCATGCATTTGTGACCTGTCTCAGAATGTCTCCTACATCAGGTCTTGACGATATTCTCTATGGTATCTCCACAGCCTTGTACATGTGGGTGCACCTTCACTTGGCATTTCTTTCCGTGGAGGATGTGAAGTAGGGCCCAGAGGCACTGGTGCCTGATCATTTACGTGGCAACCTCCTGCTCAGGGCTTTGCAGCGCAGCTTCTGAGGTCAGGGGTTTCACACGCCCAGGGGCGCCTGCTTGGGGCTTCTCCACCGCCCTCGGTCTGTTCGTTTACCCTTGAATCAACACCACACTGTACGGATCACTAATTAATTCCTGGCAATTTCCATTGCTATGTGGTTACTCTTGCATCCAACAGACTCAATCTTCCAATAGTGCTCTATCTTCCAAGATTACCTCGGTTCTTAGTTTTTGCACTTTTCTTTAAATCTGGGAATCAGCTTGCCGATTTCTACAAAAACCGTCTGCCCGGGCTTCATGAGGATCATTTTGAATCTGTGAACTAGTCTGGAGACTGGTGCTCTGACTCTATCGTAGTGTGTGGGCCCGGAAGTGTGTGTCTGCAGGAAGACTGAGGGCGGGGACATGAACAGTCCCGGGCCCGAGAGCTGGCACTGCTGGGGAGGGTCCCGACTCAGTATCTCCCAGCTGCCCTTTTCTTAGAAAAGCTACTCCTCAGGGAGATGAAAATACTCAGCCAAAAACACTGCTTCCGATCAACTCGCTCTCCTCGCCCTGATGCCTGACTCACAAGAGAGCTTTCTGAGCACAGTCTGCCTGCGCATTGAGAAGAGGCCCCGAGAACTCTGAAAAGAATGAAGTGTTTGATCTCCTAACCTGGATAACGCCGGACCGGAGTTGGTCAATGATCCGGGCAGAGGCCACAGCGCCTGCTGCTCCGTGGGCTCCATCAAACACTCCCGCTGGCTCCTGGCCCCACACTCTTCTCATCCCCTCTCCCTGCGGCCACCTGTTGGCACCTCCTCTCTCCCGCTCCTCACGGGCATTTCTTTTTAAAAATATATATATTTTATTGACTTTTTACAGAGAGGAAGGGAGAGGAATAGTTAGAAACATCGATCAGCTGCCTCCTGCACGCCCCCCACTGGGTATGTGCCCGCAACCAAGGTACATGCCCTTGACTGGAATCGAACCTGAGACCCTTCAGTCTGCAGGCCGACCCTCCATCCACTGAGCCAAACTGGTCCGGGCCTCACGGGCATTTCTGAGTGCAGGTCCCTGGTTATCGATGCTGCTGCTTAGCGTCAGCAGCGCTTCGTGACCGGCCGCCTGCCGCAAGCTCCGACTCCACGGCTTGGTCGTGGCCGGGACAGGGGTTTCTGCAAAGCTCCTGTGCGGCAGGAGGACCAGCAACGTCAATCCAGATCGGCTGACTGCCTCCGCGCACGTGTCTCAGCTGTGGTGCGACAACTCTGTGCCAATGGCTCATGAACACGTCTGTCTTAACATGTCCAACATGGGGCCCTTTACTCCATCCCCCCCCACCACCACCTAAAACCGCTCCGCTCCCAGTCTCCCGAGTGGTGGCCATCTCTGCTCAGGTGCAGAACTAAGGAAGCCAGGGGTCACCCCACATTCCTGACTTTTGCTCACACTCATGGATGTTTCTTTCTGTCCTGAAAACGCTCTGAAAATCCATTGCTCTGCCCCATCCTCACGGCCATCACGCGGACTGTGGAGACATGGGTCCCCACACACAGCGACAGCCCATCAGGAGCCGCCTCGTGCTCCACCAGCGACACGACGCACCATGGGCCTCTCAGACCCGTGTCAGTGCCGGCGGGATGGGGCCGCAGGACCGCACTGTGCTGCTCAGTAGGAGATGGTGCTGTGACTTTGGAGGACAGTGAGGGTTTCTTACAAAACTAAACGTCCTCTTGCCATACAATCCAGCCACCCCACTCCTTGGTATTTAGCCAAAGGAGGTGGAAACTTACGTCCACACAAAACCCTGCACACCGATGTTTAAAAGCTTTATTGCCAAAAGCTGGAGGCAGCCAAGATGTCCCTCCGTAGACGATGGGAAAAAGCAGCCGCTACACCCAGACAAGGAAGAGTACTCAGACTGAAGAGAATGAGCGACCGAGCCAGGAACAGACGCGGAGGAACCCTCAGTGCCCATGACTAAGTGACAGACCATCTGAGAAGGCCCCACACTGTGTGACCCCAAGTATATGACAGCCTCAGGAAGACGACACGATGGGGACAGTGAACGGATCAGGGCTGGAGGGAGGAACAGGCGGAGCACAGAGGAGTTCCAGGGCATGAAACCGCTGTGTGAGTGTGAGGATGGATAGTGCCATTACACACTTGTCCAGACCCCCGGGGCGCACAGCACCAGGGCGAGCCCTCTGCACGCTGTGCCCTCTGGGTGCTGAGGTCGAGTCAGTCTAGGCTCCATGCCTGCAACAGTGGACCCTCTGGTGGGGGTGTCGGTAGTGGGGGAGGCTCTGTGTGTGAGGGGAGGGGGGTATGGGACGTCTCTGTGCCTTCTGCTGGATTTTGCTGTGGCCCTAACCCTGAGCTAACGGTAAAGTCTGATAAAAGCGTACCGTGATCCCAGCTCGAACCTCCCAGGCTGCCCATTACCTGCGGGCTAAGGGAGGGAAGGGAAGTGGAGAGGAGGCTTAATTTTGAATTTAGACCATGTGCATGGGTTGCCTAGTAAACGCTCATCATTTTTTGTTTGTCTTTGTTAGTCCTCACCCAAGGATATTTTCCCATTGATTTTTTTTAGAGAGAGTGGAGGGGAGGGAGGAGGAGGTAGAGAGAGAGAGGGAAACATCGATGTGAGAGACACATCGATTGGTTGTCTCCCGCATGCTCCTGGACAAACGGGGATCAAGCCTGCAACCCAGGAACGTGCCCTTGACCAGGAATCGAACTGGAGACCCTTTGGTTCAAGGGCCAACGCTCTCTCTAACTACTGAGCCAAGCCAGCCAGGGCAAAACACTCATCTCTTTTAATGCACAGACTAGCATGACTGGTCCAGGAAAACAGAGTAAGGCCACTATGACTTAGGGCCCTCATGTTCTGGGGAAATTAAGGTCACCGTCTTAACTCCGTCCACAAAGCACCCTACACCGGAGGAGCTCTTTCCCCTCCTTCCGCTGTGGGCTGTCTCAGAGCAGCACAGGCAGCAGCAGGGAAGGGCGGCCCTGCCAGCTGGTGCCAGTCAGAGAATGAATCCACCCAGGACCCCGCGCAGGTGCCACCTCCCCAGGCGCCACCACCGCTGGAACTGGGCTCGCTGCCCCTCCCTCTCAGCCACCAGGAGGGTCTCGCAGTGGGTCCTGCCCCTGCTGCCGGGCTCCACAAACAAACCACAGCCACCAGCTCGGCCACCAGGT